GCTCCCTAACAGCTCCTCACAGCTCCTCACAGCTCCTCACAGCTCCTCACAGCTCCCTAACAGCTCCTCACAGCTCCTCACAGCTCCTCACAGCTCCTCACAGCTCCTCACAGCTCCTCACCGCTCCTCACAGCTCCTCACAGCTCCTCACAGCTCCTCACTGCTAAAGGTCTTTAATTGAAGTTGAATAAGGAGCGGTTCTTACCTGCAATCACAGTAAAATTCTGCGGGACAGAATCAGGGCTGATCTTTCCGGTTATGATGGGGGAAGCTGCTCCACCTGCAGACGAAGCCGACAGGCGTTATTCCTTCTGACTGGATTCCATCCTCCAATTCTCTGATGGTCTGAGTGGGACTCTACCTGAATCCATGTGCCAGAGGTCCCCAGCTGCTGGGATGGGGGGGATGGTGAGGGGCGAGGCCCCGCAGTTGGACTGGACCAGGATGCCGTGGATGCTGACGGGAGCGCTCATGCCTGAACGGAGGGCGGCTTTCAGTGGCGCCACGTCGTTGAGCTGAACTCTGGACAAGCAGCCCACAAAGCCGGGGCTGTTGTAGCGTTCGATCAAAATGGGGTCAATCTGTCCCGTTTCTGCAGAGAGCAAAGGAGCCATGCGGTCAAATCCATGAAACGGACAAGCTAGTTAGCTACGGGAAAACGAGAAAACGTCTTTTAGCATCAACAGTTAACTTTCTCTATCGTTATGCTGCTTTAGCCTTAGACTGCTGGAGGACCCCGCTTTTCATCATTCTACATCTGTTCTCCCATTCTACATCTGTTCTCCCATTCTACATCTCTTCTCCCATTCTACATCTTTTCTCCCATTCTACATCTGTTCTCCCATTCTACATCTGTTCTCCCATTCTACATCTCTTCTCCCATTCTACATCTTTCCTCCCATTCTACATCTTTTCTCCCATTCTACAGGGGTTTTCAGGTTTTTCCTCCACTGGAAGCTCATTAAACCAAGAAAAGGTTGGAGGGAGCTGAACTGTGGGACCAGTGGCTGTGGTTGGATCCCAGCATGGACCATGAATGCTTTAACTGACCAATGACTAAGTTAGCTGCATCTATAGGCTGGAACGTCGCTGTGGACCAATGCTGGTCCCATTAGCAACACCAGGTCCACCAGTGGAAGGGGACGGCTCAGCCGGGCGCTTTGACCCCGTTTGGACTGGTGTGTCATTAAAATCAGATTTTTAATCTGAATGAGATCTAACTGGAGAAATGAAGGCTGCATGAGACTGCAATGCAGCAAAGGATTGTGGGAGTTTAACTTAACTGGAGAAGTGACGTCAGTAATGCTGGTAAAGAGAAACAGGAGGTTTCTGCAGACGTCTGAAGAGGAAACGACTTCCTGATTAAAGTTAATGTTTAACCATCATTTTCTAATCATTTCAGTTCTTGCTGACAAACAGGAAAAACCATTTGGTTCTAAAGTATTTATATCATTTTAGAACAAAGTCATAAATCAGTAAAAACATTTCTATGTAACCATTAAAATAAATCAGATCTATTATGTTCTGTTCTAGACGGCGCTGCTGATTCCTTTTAGTGCGTCTGTTGGTTTAAACTCTCCTGGTTTAACAGTCTGATGAAGAGGAGGCTCCATAATCTTCCTCATTCTGTGGGATTTTTTAGTAACTGGAGGTTAAAATAATGACGATGGATTAGAAGATAAACGCCATCAGCAGAAGGGAAAGGTAAAGCTGCGTTCAGACCAGCGCAGCGACTGCGGTGGGTTCACAGAATCCCAGTTCAAACCGCGCGGTGAGAGCGTCCACTGCCCCTCCCCCACCTGCTGCTCCTAGATGGAGCATGGAGAGAGAGGAGCGGTGATCGCTGAAGATGAAACCTGCTGAACTTTTCTGTAAAATCTGGACCTAGCAGCCAATCAGGGACCGGAGAAGCTTTTTCACTTTACATGGAGGAAATAACGTTAAAGGTGGAAATAAGGGATGCTCTGCAGAGGACTTTAGGCGGTCTTTAATCCTAGAAGGACCGTTGATCATCCTCCCTCACCTCCAGCATGGAGCCCGGTCTGTCTCCGCCCACTGCCCAGCATCGGGGCTTTCTGAGGGGGTAGATTTACCAGGAGGTCCTGCTGAGTCAGAGCTGCTCTGGATGAACCAAAGTGGTTGTTTTGTTTTCCCCCGGGGGGGTTAAAGGTTGTTCATAGGGAAGCAGCAGTCTGTGATGCTCAGTAAAATGCGGTGAACTCCCTGTGGGACTCACAGAAATCACCAAGGTAACCGCAGTGAGTCTGAATTCACCTTAACAGGTGAGGTTTGAGCATCTCTGCAGAACCACGAGGCAGAGAGACTAACATGGATGACTAGAAGCAAAGCAGAGGCTCACAGAAGCTTTAAGATACTAAACATCATCCATCCAGCTTCACTCGTTTCACCAGCAAACTCACCGTAGACCTTTCCTAGGAAGATGCTTTTCACCAGGTGGAAGCGTGCGTCAGAAGCCTCTGGGAGGGTGAATGTGGACATGGGGTAGTGATCCAGCTGGAAGCAACAATCAGACAAAAGGAAAAGATCCTTCAAAGTTTAAAGGCAGAAGATAAAAACTTTGTGATCTCCTGATTTCTAAATTAATCAATTGATTTAATCAAAGGAAAGTCAATTCAGTTCAGTGGCTAAACTTTGACCTCTGACCTCCGGCTAACCGGAGTTCAGGGTCGGGGAGAAGGTCCTACCCCAAGATGACTCTAACTATCTACC